GTGCGGGACAGTCTTTTTGGCAGGCATGCCACAAATTAGGTGTGTGCTCCCTGAGTGCTACTTCAGTTCTCTTCCACTGCTGCTGTGCTTTCTGTTCCTTGCCTGATCGTCTGTTCTGCTTTCTGCTGCTTATTCTGTGTTCCTGCCAAATCTGTTGCTCTGTTGCCTACTCCCTGCCTCATCTGCCATGTGCCATGCAGAAAGGCTGCCCATGCACTTGACATGTGTACTGTGGGTTGGCCACCCCTGAGTTAAGGCATTTCAGTGTTTGCCTTAAGATGTCTAGTTTTACAAGCATCAGCAGGTTAGATTTTAAAAGAAGATTTTCAGTTTCTAAGAATTTGCATGCTGGCATAAGTAAACATTCATGGTTTAACAACTCATTTGCAGAAGAGAATATAGAGTAGTCAATTTCCTGGTAGTGACTGACTAATAATATGCAAAGTTGAAAGGGCATCATTTTCATATGCCCGTCTGAATTTGTAATATTGGCAATTTTTTAAAAAGTTGTAATTTGTTTGAGCTAATGTTGAGAACATCACTGATATAGAATAACTATAAACACTATGATGTAAAAATATGTCAACTTTTCAGCCATATCAGTGTAATGATGTATTATATAGATTTGTCTTTTCTCCTTGGAGTTATTGGAAACTGTCTTTCTATCTGTCATCTTGTGTGTTGCAGAGTAATGTGTTCATGTATTACGGACTGTCCAACTTCTATCAGAACCATCGTCGTTATGTGAAATCTCGAGATGACAGCCAACTAAATGGAGATAATAGTTCCTTACTTGTAAGTAAATGAGTTTGCTAGCATAACAACAGGCAAATACATTTCTACTGCTACATAAATTAAGGTACGGAGTAGGCTTATTTATTTATTTAAATAAAGGTGAAGTGAAATATATTTACTTGCGTACCATATACAACCTTCCCCCAAAAAATAGGTTCTCCAAAATTGCAGTGTCATAAGTGAGGAAGCTGACATTCTTCTTTTCTTTGCTGGAATAGAAGCATGGAGAGGCTGTGCTCTAGTGGCTGCCAAAATGACTCCCAATTCTCTCTGGCTCAGCAGGCAACTAGGTAGAGTCCAGTGTTAATCCTCTTGTGGCTGCTGCCAGAATGGCAGTGGCTGTTGGCTTTGGAGTTAAAAGCTACTACAAAATTGGCAGCCAGTGAACTGCTGCATTCATTGAAGCATTCAGGCATCATTCTGGAAAAACCTCTTTTTCAGCATGCTGTCTTCCAAAACCTGTGTGTGTCTTATAGTGTGGTAGGTATTTCTCTGTGTAATGGCTGAAGGATTGATGTTTTACTAAGTCAGGGGTGAGCAATTATTTCTGCTGAAGGGCCACTTAATGAGTTTTGGGGACCTGTCAAGGGCCACATCCAGATCTCTCTCCCTGTCTCCCATCAGAACCCGGCCAAAGCTGTAGTTCACCAGGAACCCCAGAACTTGCCTGTGGACACAGACGGGGACATCTGCTGCAGTGTTGGGCAGCAGCATCCGCTGTGGGCGCAGCTACTAGGTTGATGTTGCTGTGTCAAGGGCTGATGCTGCTGGGTGGAAGCAGTCTTGCCCTCTTACCTGGCACTGCATGGTGGCCAGAGCCACCAGCCGCCCATGGACCAGATCCAATGAACTGGTGGCCATCTACCCACAGGCTGGATCAAATCAGTTGGCAGGCCAGATCTGGTCAGCAAGCCGTATTTTGCCCACCCCTGTACTAAGCATATTTCATATCTATTATGCTTAATGGACAATATGCAATTAATCAGTAACTTATCGATTATGATGCAGTAGATTGACCACTGCTCAGTGTCTGTAATTGGACATTTAAAGATCTCTTGCACTCTTTAGCAAATGAGATTCATTTATCCTCAGTTTTTCTGTCTGAAGGTTTTTAAATTTTTTTAGTACTATAATCATCCAGCTAGCAAGCATCCAAGTTGGGATAAATTAATTTTGCTACATCATCAGTTTTCACGTGGTCAGAACTGCGTATTCCAATTCAGAATTATACTTGGAAGATCTTTCTAAAATGCATGTGTTCAAAAGGACAGCGAACTGCTCAGAATCTGTCTACAGTCTGTAGATTTCTTTGAGGCCCTTCATAAGTGAGGAGTTTGCTATTTTGTGGTTCCAGCAGATGCTTCTCTGTCCCCAGTGATTGTTAATGGCTCAACAGCCAGGCCTTCCACCATTTTATGAAGTCCGGGTTTTTAGCTCCATGTTTTATTCAAAAACAGAAGAGCATTGAGGAAGTTCTTAGGCTCTTTGTATTTTCATTATATCTTATCAGCCAGTCACTTATTGGTGTATAAGCATTTTTATTGTACTTGTAGAAATATTCTAAGCACCAGTTTTTGGTTTTTGTGATTTTTTTTCCTTAACGCTTTTTATTGGATTGTTAAAAAACCAATATACTAATTATATAGATATAGATAGATATAGAGAGATGATTAGTATAATACACACACACACACACATCTCAACATATACACCATATACACATCATTGTATAAGATGCTTTGTTATTTATTCTTTATCATATATATAAATGGATTTTTGAACTGTGATCTTATGTTGGGAAAATGTTCTAAATGAAGTTATAGTAGACTTGAATCGTTAGATTAAAGATGGCCACCTGATATAAAACGTTATATTACAATGCATGTACTACATGGTTGAGAACTGCCTGCAGTTTGTACACCTCTTTTTAAAGCATCATAATACTTCACCTTCTTTTAAAATACTTGGTGTTTATTGCCAAAAGCCTACTCTAGGTTCACTGAAGTATTTGCTCAAGAATGGGGTGGCTTGCTTTATTTATAGAAGTTCTGAACTACCTTTTTCTTTCTTTCTAAATATTAGAATCCCAGTAAAGAGTGTGAGCCTTACCGCATGAGTGAGGACAAGCCCATTGCTCCATGTGGAGCTATAGCCAACAGTATGTTTAATGGTATGGTATCATTTTTTAACTTGTAAGACTATCAAGACTCTTTTGTAATCTGGCGCACATTTCAACTGCAATAAATAATTCAAAACGGAGAAACTAGGCCATGCAATGTATTCATTTCTCCCCCCTCCCAATTAACAAACTCTTACTAAGTGGGAAGCTTTTCGTTTGTTATGCTTGGTGCTGCTCTTTGTTTTCTGCGTTGCCATTACTGAATGAACCTGGTAACATGCAAGGTGTGGGATCGCTGTTCTAGAAATCATTGATTTTTTTTTTTTCTTTTGTTATGTATGCCATGTATTTATTGTGACAATTACAGATGCTAGTGCTGCCTGTACCATTCTTTTCTGGAACTATCAAATATTAGTTTCATTTTTTTCTGCCAGCAAAATATATAAAATGTTCTCTAGTTTAATGCTTGTCTGTTTTTTTTTTTTTTTCTTTCTTGAATTTCTAATTAGATACATTGGTATTGTATCGCATTGATAATGAAACAAGGGTTCCTATTCATTTGAATAAAAAAGGTATTGCTTGGTGGACAGACAAAAATGTTAAATTCAGGAATCCTTCAGGAGATGCAAATAACTTGACTGCACTTTTCCAAGGTAAGTTACTTTAACACTTTATAATGAATAGTCAGATAGTAAGGATATGGGTCAGACAAAGATTAATAATAAAAATTATTCTCGCTGATACTTTATGTGAATGTCAGCATTGTGCTGACACGCTGATACAACAGTGTTGTGGTTCTGCACAGAATATCAAACTAAAAATGTTTTTTTTTTCAGCCAGAAATGTCTGTAAATGGTGAAAGGGACATTGTTATTGTGTGAATGTGTCTTAGTTTAATTTATTTATTATTTTAAAATCATGACTTGTCATGTGGGGATTTAAGATATTTTGGTTTTAGAGTCTATTTTCATTTTGTACCAATCATTTTAAAGATTCTAAAAATATCTGAAGTGTCAGAATAAAAAGAAAAAGGAATGCTCTTTTAATATACAATTTTTTATGGGGAAGAAAGAATCCGTTGAGGCAGACTTGTTTAAACTAACCCATATTTTGTTGCATCTGACAACAAGCTACTTTTAAGATATGGAAGAGTGTTTCTTTGTAAAAGAATCTGACTTGTACTTTCTGTCATCCCATACTTTTTAAATTGAGGCAGCCACAGATGTCGCATTCATTCTTATAAGAATCGGACACTGAAATATTCAGTCAGTATTATTTTTTTTAAATGGCTAATGCATATCATAACCGTCAGTTTGGTTTTATTTTCTGTTTGCTTCACTGTGCTTTGTATTAATCTACATCTGGTTTGAAACTTGTGCCATGATTAAAGAGACCCTAGTTTAAACTTGTCTTTTAAGAAATTTTATCTGACTAAAGCTTTTTGAATGACTAATACTAACTCTTTCTACTAAAGCTATTTTTTTTTTCTTCTCTCTCCTCCTCTTCCCCCGCCCCCGGGCACTTACCTTGAACAAAGAAAATAGACTAGTTTGACTTCCCTGTTCTAATATAGTAGCACAGAGGTACACTGGGTGCAAACTCTCTAAAGAAAATCCTGCAACTGTTTGAACTTAGACTCCTTATCACTACTATTAATCTTAAAATATTTCTTGCTGATATTGCTTTCACATCATTTTCTGCAATATCTAATCTTAATTGAGCTTAGTGTGCCTCAGTTCTCTGACAAGTGTATTAATTCCTTACATCATTATACAGCTGGTTAAATAGCCAGCTACATTTGGCTATTAATAATCAGGAAATGGACATACAACCTCAGTTATGCAGCCAAAGCTATTTGCACACCAGTATCTAAATCTGCAAGATATACATTAGCCTCATGTCTGATAATACCAAAGTACATTAAAATATCACAGGATAATCAGGTCACCAATATGATATTACTGCACACGGGCAGGTACAATCCCAGAATGTATTGAATAAACTATTTCTAGTAGAGTAAGGGAGATGCCTTATATGTGGCACTCCTTTTATACATGGCATCTGGAATACTCTTGAGCTTTTTGGTTCACCTGTGTCCAAGAAAGACTAATTCAAACTGGAAAAGAAAAAGGCTGCTAGGACGATTGGAAGAAAGGAGAGAGTATAATGAGCAAAAGAGAGGAGACCAAATGTGCATGGATTATTTAGCTTAGTAAAACAAAGTCTCTAAAAATATATATTTACAGACAGCAGTTATCTAGAGGGTAAGCCTCAGAAAGGACAAAGCCTATAGGTTACAGGACAAAATTGATTTCAGAACAAATGGATACAGGCTGGCCGTGAATAAATTTAGCCTGGAAACTTTGATTTCTCAGAGCAGTGAGGTGCTTACCTTCTAATAGAAGTAGTGGGAACAAGCATCCTTATTAGTCTTAAGATTTTGGGTTTGAATTGTTTTTTCCACCCCATAAACATGTTTATATCATTAAATGATTTAATTTTAGGCACAACAAAGCCTGTAAACTGGCCCAAGCCAGTATATATGTTGGATTCAGACCCAGACAACAATGGGTTCATCAATGAAGACTTCATTGTATGGATGCGTACTGCAGCACTTCCTACATTTCGTAAACTGTATCGTCTTATAGAAAGGAAAAATAATTTGCAGCCGACCTTAGAGGCTGGACAGTACTCCTTGGACATCACGTATAGTATCCTTTATTAATATATTGAACTGCTGATGGTGTCAGCTGGAATATTTGAATGCACATATTGTAAGGCCACAAGATTTATACCAGTAGTCAGGTTTATAGGACTGTATTTTGAAGTGGTGGTGTGAAATTTCATTATTATGAGACTATTTCAAAGAAGTTACTTCAGGAGATCTATTTTTCTTTTATTATTTCTTTATGTGAATTGTATAACAGAGTGGCACCCCCTCTGCACTGGTGCACAGGCTAGTGCCCTGCTCTCTCCCTTTCCCTCCTCTTCCAAGTTATATTACCATCTAGATTTATGTTCTTACTGCAGCAATTCTGGGACCACCTCAGTCCTCCTAGGTTTGTGTAACAATCTATCCCCACCATTCTGTGCTTATACATCTGCTGCACAAAACAGGTCCACAGAGCTATTAAAACTTAATGCATTGGCTGTTCTAGCTGCTTTTTACGTGTAGCCTGTTTGCTTTCTGTAGGCTGGCACGCTCTCGCATTGTTGGGGAGACAGCCAGTGCTGAAATGCCTTGAATCTTGTCCTACTTCTAGTTTCCAAAATGAATTTAATACCGAGAGTTGGAATAGCCATTGCTCTAATTTGGATCCATGCCCTGTCACCGGTCTTAGATGGAAACCTTGAGCTTGCCAAGAAGAAAAAAGTTTATATTTATTAAATTGGTAGGCTAAAGCTGCTTTCATTCTTACCCAGAAAGACAGACATTCTCACATTATATTTCATAGAGCTCTAGTCTTTAACTAACGAGTAAGGAATATAACATTATTCAGAGGAGACTGGGCAAGCACCTAGCTGGCGTTGTCTGACCCCAGCCCTCTTTCCTGCCCATGGCAGGGGGTTGGACTCGATGACCTCCTGAAGTCCCTTCCGACCCTAACATCTATGAAATCTGTGAATCTATTATTTTTCCAGCTCCCATATGGATGCAGTTAAGTGGAGACATTTCACTGTGGGTTGCAGTGTGATTATGCTAACCTGGGTACTCTCACTTGGTTTCAGTCACTGTTGGGAACACTGCAGTGAGGATGTGCCCTAACAGGGGAGTAAATTGGGTTGCTTGTGGGTACATCTACACACACAACTAATGCAACACAATAAACTGTGGTGCATGTTACACCAGAGTTTATTGCTCTCAGGTGCTGCATTTACATGTCCGACCAGGACCGCAGTATGTTGAGCTGGGTCAGAACAGCCCTAGCTGGCAGAGCATCCAGAGGGTCAGCCTTCGAGCCTGGGGCTGCTCCAGCTCAGCTCAATGTGCTGTGGAGGGGCTGGCTGGGGCACAAGGGTGCTTCAGTCAGTGCAGGGCTAGCTGCCAAGCATCCCATGCACTAAAGGATCCTCATGCCCCAGCCAGCCCTGTCAGTGTCTACACATGTGTTGCTGTGCACTGAAGACCTTCATGGTAAGATAGCACTTGTGTTTACAAGTACTAACCTAAGGTGGAGTTAATTTACTGCAGGCTAATAGCGTCTCATGACTAGCTGCTGAGATTTTACTTGTTAGGAGCTAATTAGGCAGCTTCACAGTAAATGTCTCCTGTAGATGCACCCTCTGTGTAGTAAAAGCATCAAGAAATGGGGGGGGGGGTGCAGGACAGAGGTAGGTAGGAGCCTTGATTCTGAGACCAGATCCTCATATTGTGTGAATTGCAGCACAGAGAGCTAGCTGTGACGTTTTTAAGACCATGTTCTAAGACAAACTGATTTGCAATGGAAACCAGTAAAAGTGCTTCGGAAGGATTTGCCCAGAGCAGCAGATGAAGTTACTAGAAGAAAATATAGATGTTTAATTATATATATTAAACTAGAATTTAGAGCAGTGGTTCTCAACCTTTTTTTAGACACAAGGCACCCCTCAAAATGTCAGCTTAGTTTTTCATAATAAAAAATGAGTGAAAAATAGAGCATTTTTTTCTGTTGCAAAAAACTTAAGAAAAAACACAGCAGGTCAGAATGCTATTTTAGAGCTCTAAGTTTATCTTGTGAATCATGTTTTCATACCTAACAGTGCTAACATTGTGTGGCACCCCTTAGCACTGTTGAAAGGATCTCATGGTATCCCCAGGTGCCATAAATTCTGGCCGAGACTCACTGATTTAGAATATACTAAACTTATATTGAGAACTTTAGAATGACTTAACTGTTCTAAATTTTTCAATGTGAGTCACTTATATAAAAAGCAAATATGCTTCTGGGCTGCAATAACAGAAACACTGTATGCAAGATACAAGAGGTAATAGTACCACACTTTAGCCTCTAGTGAGGCTTTACTGAAGTACTGTACCCAGTATGAGGCATTGAATTCTAAGAGGAAACTGGTTAGGGTTGAGAGGTGAGTGATACTGATGATAAGAATAAAGCAGACTGTTATGAGGAACACTTGAGCTATATATTTTTCTTTTGGAGAAAAGAGAATAAAGGGGATACTGTGATTGACGTTTACAAATAGTTGTAAAACTGCCATAAAAACGGGAGAAACATTGCCCTCCATAAACATAAAAGGCAGGGCATAAAGCAAGGGGTTTAAAGCTGTAGCAAAAAACACGGAAAGCTTAGGAAAATCTTTCTAATGAAAACAGTAGGATAAACTGACCAGGGAAGTTGTGTGGAATCTCCTTCCCTGCAGGCTTTCAAGAAGGGGCTAGATGGGCATCCATGTGGGATGGTTCAGAAATATCAGATCCTGAATCTGTGCAGGGGCTTGGACTAGATGACTTTTTTTGAGATCTCTTCTACCCCACGATTTAAATTCAGCTTCATAATGTGACCACAGAATTAAATATATGTTTATACGTTTCTAAAAGCAGTTTCTTAAATCTGGGCATGTATCCATGCAGTTATAAAGACTGAACTGTGTCAGTATTTAGAGATAGGAAGTTTGTGTTAAATTACTGATTGAAACTATCTGAGGTCAGCCAGATTTTAATTAAAATAGCTGGCTTTATCATGTGTATCCTGTTTTCCTAAATGTTCTTCAGATTATCCTGTACACAGTTTCGATGGACGAAAAAGGATGATCCTGAGCACTATCTCATGGATGGGAGGCAAAAATCCATTTCTGGGGATTGCTTACATCACAGTTGGGTCCATATGCTTCTTTTTAGGAGTTGTGCTGCTAATCATACATCACAAGTTTGGAAATCGAAATACTAGTGCAGACATTCCCAATTAATCTTGCATTCTGAAAACAAATGTGCTGCATGTGCATCAAGGCCAGTCCAGAGTGAACCTAGTTTCTGAAAGTTAAATTGCCGGTTATGTCACTTCTGAAACTAGGTGCATAACTCTTCTCTAAAGCCTTTGATCCTCTCTGTGGATTGATTTTTTGACAATGACGGGTATATAATTAGCTGTATTGATTGTATCTATGCTAACTGCTGAAATGTTTTTCTAATGTTTGCCTCTTTATGGCCAGGCCATATGATACATATAGCCCCTCAGTGCATCTGCTGCTTGTTTCTGTGCTATGAAATATATCATATGATGCAGTATGCTGTGTGAAGGAAGACTGTTAGGATAGAGTCTAAATCTTAATCTTTCAGGATTCAGGGTGTCAATGCTGTCACAAGAATGAAACAGGTCTCTAGTATTTCCTCAGTTTACTGTGTTGTCTGCATGGGCTTTTATGTTTCTTGCTGAGATGTTTAATATATTAAACATGTTGTAAAAAAAATTCCTGTGTCAAGCCCAAGTCTGTTACCTGTTAGGTCTTCATAAAATGCTGTCTAAATCTGCAGCATTACTTACAGATATGTAAAGCAAATGTGCCTAATGCATTGAACAAGCATTCCCTTAAAATTCAAGGGATCTAACCCATTGACTGTAGGAGTGAATGTCCAAGTCTGGTTTCAACTTGGAATGACTTGTATGGATAGAAACTGGCTTTACTTTTTAATTATTTACTCTGGTTCAAGTCCTACCTAGAAGCAGTTTGTCCTTCCTGCTTGTTCCTCATAAGCAGCTTAAAAGGCATTAATCAGAGAACTAAAACGTTCTATTAGCAAGCAAGCGAGTTAGATAACTTTTGCCAGTGCAGGAGCTTCCTTAGTCTGTTCTAATGAAAACCAAAGCTTAGATGTTCGGAGCAGGCTTTGTGAAAAATGAAGTACAGCTCCCTCATATGGAAGAAACTAAGAGTCAGAAACTTGTTCTTGAAGTTGTACTCAGATACAAAAGTAAGTAATAGTTCTTGATGTGAATCCTTTTAACATAGAGCTTACCATAAAAGTACTTTAAACATTGCTGTTACAGGTCAAAAGTGTGGGCTATTCTCCCATCAAAAACATTTACTTGTTAATTTAATTGAAAGTTAGTTATAAACTAACCTATTATTACATTCTGGTGACTTTTAGGTGATGTACATAAATTGTAATGTATATGGTGGAGGTTTACTTTATATGCAACTGGATTGATAAAATATTTGAATATTCAGTATTGAATAAATGCTGCAGACTGTTTATTATTTTGTCATTTAACTTGAGCTTACTTTCATGTGGATAAAATTGTGTTGTATTTTAATAAGCAGTATGCAGTGTGAATGCAATTCAGCTCATTTTAATTTTCAAAATTAGATGCTCATGACAAAGCTGTTCATATTCTGATAACCTGTAGTCAACTTCTAAATCATACTGTATTAATGTATCAATTCTTTGACCACTTTTACTGAGTTTTTTTGTGTAGTGTTTAAAGTTGATGGGAGTTTCAGGCTAGTGTGAAATGGGCAAGAGTTGAGGCAATGATTTAGTAACTTTGTTCACTTCTAACATACAAATTCACATAAATAACATTATGTAGTTATTGGCTGACTGTACCTTAGTATGTGACCGTTCTGCACATGGTATTTTGATTTCCAAGGAACAGTTTATAATTTGGATGTTAAAGTTGCATGAGTGTCATTGGAATCGCGAAAATCGGAACATTCAGCTTTGACTGTTCATAGAGAATCTGTACACAAGGCATTAAGTGAAATTGGCTCTAATCTATAAAATAGTTGCAAAGTCATAGTTTATTGAACTAATAAAGGCACTTCACAATAACTGGTTATTCAAGTACTTTTTAATTTTAAACTTTGTGTTTGATTGGTAATCGTCAGCTTAATAAAAGTAAACTGAATATATCTTTGTTGTCATGATCAATATATTTTAAAATGAGTTGGAATGCTTCCCCTTGAGCTACCTGCAACAGTTCAATCAGCAGAGGAAAAATTATTTTGACTAGCTTGAGATCTGCATTTATCTTTGCTGTGTTTGCCACCCCTGCATTCCGTTGTTTTCCTCAGAAGAGAAATTTGATTTAGCCATATGCAATATGCTTTCTCTGTGTAGACATGACTGTGTATCTTTGATTAGAATTTGTAAATATAAATATTTTATATGTATGCAAGAGAAAGTACCTGTCCATGAATTTTCAGTGTGGATATCTCTTCTGGCCACCTATAACAAGCAGTGGTTATTTCTGCAAGTTAACAGTGTGTGGGGACAATCTGAAGCTCATGTCTTCAAGGTTCTAACTAAAGACAATCAGTATTCTGGAAATATTTGAAAGAAAAGGCTCACATGTGCAGCAGGAGTAATGAGATAAGAGAAGCTTTTATGACCTCTGAGTAATTGTGTGTATACATTAATGCAGTTTTTTTTATGAGTGAAATTCCACATGGCCACAAAAATATGAAGAAAATGTGAAAGGACATGAAAATCTTGCAAGAAAAGTAACGCGAGATAAGAGAAAAGTTATAACAATTTTTTTTTAATAAATGGGAAGAGCTCAGGACTGGGAGCTTGGCTGTACTGTCAGAGGCATTCAGACTACACCTGCTATTAGTGAGGCTGCATAAACTCATGTCCAGTTCAAGGAGTACATTTTGTGTTCCCATTCCTGTGTTGAGGTTCAGTGGCATAAACCTCCACATGTGCACAAGCTGCTTGGGAACTTTGTATCTTTTACAGGGATAGAATTGCACAAACACACATCCCTCTTCTTCCCTTTGCATATGGGATGCTGTTCAATATTTTTGTGTAGATGCTTTAAAAAAGCTGGGCCCCTAGCATTAGACTTTTTTTCTCTTTCAGGCTGCCCACAAGTCTCTTTAGAAACCCACCCCATGAGCTTCTGTATTCATTCAGAGTGGATGAAGATCAAACAAGATCTACAGTACTTTTCGTAGAAGCCCTAGTTTTTAGTCGAATCCAGGGGATCTATGCTCCATGTGACAAATATGCCAGTTTTATAGTGAAAAAGAAAATAAGGTATCTGAGGTCAAAAGCTTTGTTGCTCTATCCCTTAGCCTTTCGCTCACACCTGGGCTCTGAGAGGGGCTGTCTCCAAAGCTAAGGAAAATGACTAAATGTCCATGGCTATTTTATTTTTGGCTTTTGTCCTGCAACAGTTCGATTTGTGGCCCCGGCACACACTAACATTCAAGGTACTGTTAATGTGCACTGATGCCAAAAATGGGCTGTCAAGGGAGTCAGTTGCAAGGGGAAGCTGAAGGGCTCCCCCCAAAGGAACAAGGGAACTTCTGTGCCCTGCAGCCTTTCGTGCCTTACCCTTTCAAGGCACTTCAAAATGCCAGCTTCCTGTTACCTGGCATATTAAAGTGCCTTGCTCCATAGCTCCTGTTGGAGATGCAGAGGCTCTTTGATCCTGGGGTCACAGTATGGGAACCTGTGGGTTTGCAGCTTCTGGGTGTGGGAGACAGTGTATTGACTCCCCCAGCTGACACCTTATGAACCTGTGCCCAGGGTTCCCTGCTGCAGGTTGTCCAACTAGGCGCTGATCCCCAATCCCAACAATTGCATGTGGCATGGTAGGAGGTGCAACTCTTGAGATCAGGGGTCAGGTCCTATTGTGCCATTAAACCTTTCCACCCTGTTTTGAAAGGAATTGGTTGCTTGTAACATGAGGAGACTGAACTTGGTGATGGACTGAAGGGCTCCCTACATTGCTACAAAGGTGCTAAATGTGGTGATGTCCTTCTGTAATAGCAACCGTGCTCTGCTGGGAATCATTCAGTTATCATAATGTTAACATGTAATGCATTCTGTTGCTCACAGAATTTAGGTGGACACTTCCCTAGCGATGTACATGTACGTCTAGCCACACTATGGCAGATACTTTGAGGTGTATTCTAATGACACCCAGTCCTAAATGGCTCAGGGGCTGCAAAAGCAGGCAGTATTAACTAAGAGGACAACAAAATACATCCCAAGGTGAATCATGGCAAAAATGTAGTACCTCTCCCGGGTTTGACAAAGAAAGGGCTGCATGTGTTGCACTCTTTGTGGTTGCAGAAAAGGTATACACTAAGGCTGCTCAACCTCTGGCCTGCAGGCTAAATGTGGTGGATCTATTGCATTTGGCCTGCAGGATGCCCTACAGATCCAAAAATGGTGGCAGCAAGGGCGTGGTAGCCCTTAATATGGCCATTTACCTCCTTGTCATGTTCTGTCTCCTCCTGTGCCTTAGGATCCAAGTTTTTAGCCCTGGTGCATGCTGTTGTCAAGGGTCAGCTAGATGACAGTTTTGATATTGTCTATTGCATGCCCAACTTTGTGTTGAGAAGAATTAACATTCCATCTAAGATCACTGTGGAATCTGCAGCATACGAATAGGCTCGGCAGTGCTATGTTTGCTTGCACCACTGATGAAAGACTTGGGGGTCATGACTGACTACAAGATGAACATGAGCCACCAATGCAATGTTGCAGCTGGTAAAGCAAACAAAACCCTGGCTTGCATCTATAGATGCTTCTCAAGTAAATCTCAAGAAGTTATCCTCCAGCTGCCCTTGGCCTTGGTGAGGCTGCAGCTGGAGTACTCCATCCAATTCTGGGCTCCACAATTCAAGGATGTTGAGAAGCTTGAGTGAGGCCAGAGGAGAGCCACGCATATGATCAGAGGGCAAGAGAACAAGCCTTATGAAGAGAGGCTGAGCGCCATGGGACTCTTCAGTCTGGAAAAGTGCAGGCTCAGGGGGGAGGCTGCCTGTAAGTACACAAGGGGTGTACATCAGGATCTGGGGGAACATCTGTTCACCAGAGTGCTCCAAGGAAAAACAAGGACCAATGGTCATAATCTCCTCCAGGACTGTTTTAGGCTGGACATGAGAAAAAATATCTTAACTGCTCAAGACCTAGAATAGACTCCCTCCAGATGAAGTGCAGGCACCTACTCTGGACTTATTCAAGAAATGCTTGGACGCTTATCTTGATGGGGTCCTTTAACCCTAGCTGACTTCCTGCCCCTGAGGCAGGGGGCTAGACTTGATGATCTTTGAGGTCCCTTCCAGCCCTAACATCTATGAAATTAATAGTAGTAGAAAGTGTTGTACATCTGAAAAGGAAATTAAGGGATTTGTACCAGTCTTGTGCACTGAGGTTTATGATTATGAGATTCAAGTGAGGCCACATTCTCTAAGTCAGTGTTTCTCAACATGTGGGTCACGACCCAAAAGTGGGTCTCAATATATGAAAGGGTCATAAACAAACTTTAAAAATGGGTTTTCCTTTGAAGGAGAAAAATGTTAGAAACCATGGCTTTTCCCTTGCAGGTTGTCAGAGTTCCAGCCTGCAAGGGGCTGCTCGGTTCCTCCTGACCCCCAAACACGCACCCCCTACCCCACACTGTAGGGGACTGGGGGCAGGGGGGCAGCAGGTTGGGAGTGTGAGGGGCACTGGGTTGGGGCTGCCCATCAGTGTTTACAAATTCATCTTAGAGCAGTGGTTCTCAACCTTCTTTGTACCAAGTAATATGCATTTGTAAGTTTGAAGCCAGATCCTTGGTTCCATTGAATATTTAATTATTCCCCGTGAAGGCGAAAATGTTCAATGAGAAAGATGGAGTCTTATTCCCAAAATAACATATAGCCTGATGACTAGAGCATTCATCTGGGAGGAGGAAGTTGAACCAGGATCTCCAAATCATAGGTGAGTGTTCTTAGCTATTGGATAAGAGCTTCCACTGCCTCTCTGCTTGGTATTTTATTGGGGGGTTGAGTCTGCCCCTGCATTCTCAGAAGAGCTACTGGCTGTGCAGGCCAGACAGGAATAGGAATAGATAGTTCATGAATCCTGATGGGGCACAGGCATAATAAATGCAGACAGGTGCCTAGCTAATTAGTGCTGTAAGACTTAGACATGCCCAGAATCAGCAAAAATGGAGAAGCCCTTAGTTCTTGCAGCTGTGAAGAGGGAATTTAGAGGATCTAAAGCAACCTACAGCTCATGGGCTGGATCCAACCCACAGATGTGGGGCTTCAGTGGCAGGGGCTTTGGCTGCAGGTGCTCTCCCTGTGCTAGCATGGAGACAAGTGCAGGTGGCACCTGCCCATCCCCAGCATGCTGTCCCCCATGGGTCATTCCAGTCTGCAGGTGAAAAAGGTTTCCTACCCCTGATTCAAAGGTTACATCTACACTGCTGGATGCTGACAACAATCTGGCTGTAGGAATGTGGACTTCACAAGTTGATTTATCCTGCTCCTCTGTCACAGGGATTAAAAATAGCTATGCCAGGGATTGCCAACCAGGGGTATGTGTACCCCCAGGGGTACTTGAGAAGGCCCTAGGGGGTATGTGTAGGCAGGTGAGGACGGAGCGCCACCATGCATGATCCTTCATGTATAGCATAGCTCGGGGCTTTTCAACCTTTTTGGGCCAGTGTACCCCTGGCAGCCAGACATGGAACAGTGTACCCCTGGCGGCTGTACACACCCCTCCGCTCCACGTCCGGGGGCCGGGGTACACTGACCCAAAAAGGTTGAAGGCCCCTGAGCTATGCTATACCCAGAGCCAAAATACTGCACAATCCAGCTGTAGCAATGTGGACTCTCAGGTGAGTTGACTTACCCTGCTCCTCACAGGGGTGAAAGGTAGCTTGGATACAGCTATGCTGTAGCATTTTGGATGTGGTTTCTTAAATCCTTAGGGCTATATCTCCACCGCAAGACAAATTGTACCAGGTGGTGAAGCACTCAAACAACCTGCTCTGCACACGATCTCTCTGAGCCAGAAGCCGTGTATCAGTGCCTGCAGCGTGGTGCGCAACGGCCTTGCATGATCCACTTTCCGTGTACAGGGGTCCTTAAATCCATACAGCTCCAAGCGCTTACCCCCACAGCCA